TTTTTTGAGACAGTGTCTCACACTGTCCCCTAGGCTGGAGTGCAGTTGTGCAATCATGGCCCACTGCAGCCTCAACTTCATGGACTCAAGAGATCCTCCTACCTCAGCTTCCCAAGTGTCTAGGATTACAGGCATGTGCCACTATGCCTGGCTAATTTTTTTCACTTTTGTAGAGGTGGGGTCTCACCATGTTGCTCGGGCTGGTCTCAAACTCCTGAGCTTAAGCAATCCCTCTGCCTTGGCCTCCCAAAGTGTTAGGATTACAGGTGTGAGCTACAAGACCCAACCCCAAAACATATATTCTTTTAATCAGCACGTGGTACATTCTCTAGGATTGACCGTATGTTAGGACATAAAACAAGTCTCAGGAACTTAATAAAATCAAAATTATATCAAGCATTTTATCTGACTACAATGGAATAAAATTAGACACCATAACAAAAGGCACACTTGAAACTATGCAAATACATGAAAATTAAGCAACATATTCCTGAATGACCAATGGGTCAAGGAAAAAATTAAGAATGAAATTTTAATATTCCTTGAAATTAGTGAAAATAGAAATACAACCAACAACCATGCAACACAGCAAAAACAGGAGTAAGCGCCAAGTTTATAGCAATAAATGCCAACATCCATCAAAAAACTAGAAAGATTTCAAATAAGCAATCTAATGAAGCACATAAAGGGGAAAAAAAGCATAAAAAATGCTTGAAAAAAGCATGAAAGAAAAGCATGAACAAATCAAACCCCAAATTGGTAGAAGAAATAATAAAGATTAGAGCAGAAATAAACAAAATTGAGACTAAATACAAAAAATCAACAAAACAAAGGTTTTTTTTAAAAGACAAATAAAATTGACAAACCATTAGCTAGAGTAACTTAAAAACAGAGAGGTAAGGCTCAAATAAATAAAATCAGAAAATGAAAAAGGAGACATCACAATGGATAGCACAGAAATATGAAAGATCACTAGAGACTACTATGAATAACCATATGCCAATAAATTAGAAAACCTGGGAAAATAGATAAAATCATGGACACATTCAATCTACCAAGATTGAACGAAGAAGAAATAGAAAATCTAAACAGACCAAAAACAGGTAACAAGATTAAATAAGTGCATAAAACATCTTCTAAAAAAATAATAATAAAATAAAGTCCAGGACCAAATGGTTTCACTGCTGAATTCCACTGAACCTTTAAAGAAGAATTAATACCAATTATTCTCAAACGATTCGGAAAAATTAAAGCAGAAGGAATTCTTAACTCACTTTATGAGACCAGTATAACCCCAATACCAAAATAAGCACTCAATAAAACTACAGGCCAATATCCTTGATGAACATAGATGTAAAAATCCTCAATAAAATATGAATAAATCAAATCCAAAATCATATCAAAATCCCACTTGATAAGTCAAGTGGGATTTATCCCAGAAATGCAAGGATGTTTCGGCATACAAAAACCAATAAACATCACACATCACATTAACAGAATGAAGGATAAAAACCGTATGATTATCTCAACAGATGATAAAAGCTTTTCATAAAATTCAGTATTCCTTAATGATAAAAAAACTTAATAAATTAGGTATAGAAAGAAATAATCTCAATGTAATAAAGGCATATAACAAACCCACAGCTAACATCTTACTGAACTGGGAAAAGCTGGAAGCTTTTTTAGAACTGTAACAAGAAAAGGATGCGCACTATCACCACTCTTATTCAACATAGTACCGGACGTTCTGGCCAGAACAATTAGGCAAGAGAAAGAAAGAAAGGGTATCCAAATTAGAAAGAAGGAAATCAAATTGTCCCTGTCTGCAGCCAACATGATCTCATACATTGAAAAACCTACAGACTCTACCAAATAACTTTTAGAACTAATAAACAAATTCAGTAAAGTTGCAGAATACAAAATTAACATACAAAAATCAGTCGCATTTCTATACACGAACAACAAACTATTTGAAAAAGAAAATAAAAAAGGCAATGCCATTTACAACACCCAGGAATACATTAACCAAGGAGATGAAAGACCTCTTGAAGGAAAACTACAATACACTGATGAAAGAAACTGAAGAGGATACAAACAAAGGGAAATGTACCCCATGCTCATGGATCAGAAGAATTACTACTGTTAAAATGACAATAGTGCTCAAAGCAATCTACAGATTCAATGCAACTCCTATCAAAATACCAATGACATTATTCACAGAAATAGGAGAAATATCCTAAAATTTGTAGGGAATCACAAAAGACCCCAAACAGCCAAAGCAATCCTGAGCAAAAAGAAAAAAACTGGAAGTATCACACAATCAGACCTTAAAATATATTACTAGGCTGTAGAAACCAAAACCACATGGTACTGGCAAAAAAAACAGACACATAAACCTATGGAACAGAATTAAGAACTCAGAAATTAATCCATGTATCTAGAACCAACTGAGTTTTTACAAAGATGCCAAAAACACTCATTGGGAAAAGGACAGTCTCTTCAGTAATGGATGCTGGGAAAACTGGATATCCATATGCAGAAGAATGAGACTAGACTCCCACTTCTCACCTTGTATAAAAATCAGTGCAAAATGGATCAAAGACCTAAATGTAAGACCTGAAATGATAAAACTAGTAGAAAAAAACATAGAAGAAATGCTTCAGGACATTGGTCTGGGAAAATACTTTATGAACAAGACCTCAAAAGCACAAGTAACAAAAGCAAAAATAAACATATGGAATCATACCAAACCAAAGACTTCTGCACAACAAAGGAAACAACAACAGTGAAAAGACAACCTACGAAACGGGAGAAAATATTTGCAAATTGCTCATCCAATAGGGGATTAATATCCAGAATATACAAGGAACTCAACAATCTCAACAGCAAAAAAAAAAAAAAAAAAAAAAAATCTAATTAAAAATGGGCAACTAATCTGAACAGACATTTCTCAAAAGAATACATACAAATGGTCAACAATAGATGAAAAATGCTCAACATCACTAACCAAACCACAATGAGGTATCATCTCACTCCAGTTAGAATGGCTACAATCAAAAAGACAAAAAAAAAAAAAAAAAAAAAAAAAATGCTGGCAAGAACGCAGAGAAAGAGAACTCTAATGTTATTGGTGGGAATGTAAACTAGTACAACCACTATGTAGAACAGTATGGAGGATTTTCCAAAAACTACAAATAGAGCTACCGTATGATCCAGCAACCCCACTCCTGGGAATTTATCTAAAGGAAAAGAAATCATCCTATCAAAGAGACAACTGCACCCACGTTTTATTGCAGCACTATTCACAATATTCAAAATATGAAATCAACCTAGGTATCTAACAGATGAATGTATAAAAAATGTGGTATATATACACAATGGACTCTATAAAAAAGATTGAAATCCTGTCATTTGCAGCAACATGGATAGAACTGGAGGACATTATGTTAAGTGAAATAGCCAGGAACATAAAGTTAAGCACTGCATGTTCTACCTCATATGCGGAAGCTAAAAAAAGTTGATCTCATAGAGGTAAAATGTAGGACAGAGGATACTAGAGACTGGGAAAGGTAGGGGTAGGGGGGGATATGGAGAGATTTGTTAAAGGAAACAAAATTACCACTAGATAGGAGGAATAAGTTCCAGTGTTCTACACCAGGAATCCCCAACCCCTAGGCGAAGGACTGGCACCTGTCCGTGGCCTGTCGGGAACCAGGTTGCACAGCAGGAGGTGAGAGGCTGGCAAGCGAGCATTACCGCCTGAGCTCCACCTCCTGTCAGATCAGCAGCGGCATTAGATTCTCCTATTATTGTGAACCCTATTATGAACTACACATGTGAGGGATCTAGGTTGCGCACTCCTTATGAGAATCTAATGCCTGATGATCTGAGGTGGAACACTTTCACCCTGAAACCATCACCCCACCCCATCCGTGAAAAAACTGTCTTCCACAAAACCGGTCCCTGGTGCCAAAAAGGTTGGGAACCACTGTTCTACACTATTATAGCATGACCATAGTTAACAATGATATTTTAAGATCATACAGTTTCATATAGCTAGAAGGAGTATATTGAATGTTACCAACACAAAGAAATGATAGATGTCTGAGATGACAGATATGCTAATTACCCTGATCTGATCCCTATATATGTATCAAAACATCACTATGTAGACAATGAATATGTACAATTATTTATCAATTAAAAATAAAGTTAGACAAAATCAATAACACAAAAATAAACAAATACGTAAAATTTACAAAAATTTTCCTAAACAAAAAACTCTGAAAATTAGTGTGCTGAGTCATTTTGTGGTTTCCTGCTTCTAAAAAAATTGGATAAGGAATAGAACAATATGCAGTAATTGATGTCACCAATATATTATAAATTCCTTGATCTTCACTTTTGTGAACTTATACACATCAGAAAGTCAAAGACTTGATGATCAAAATGATCAACTAGATGAAAAACAAAGGGCTATAACTTCCCCTGAGTTGGAGAATAGTGTTCAAATGTCACATCCAGTATCAAAATGCAGAAGATATTTTAAAGTAGTACTCATGAAACAGTATAGTCAAACAAACCATTTAAAAAATGGATCACCTGAAAGAAAAACATAGAGAAAAACCAAGTTTTCCTGCTGTGGGAGAATTATTCATTCTAACATACTCTGTCTTCTACTGCTTTCTCCAGTTTAAGTTATACATTATTTGGTAATTGTAGCAACACTTTGCTTTCAATATTGTGAGAGGAACTCTTAGTTAAAAACAATGAAGGACTTGGACTCTGATTTCTAAAGTCTCCTCCAACTAACATACTATTTTCTTTTATTTTTAATTTTTTAAAAAAATTTCACAGGTGTTGAATCATTTTCTTTGTTCTAAGCTATCCTCATGGCATATCTCAAGAATATAATTCAACTCATGACACACACACAAACACACACGCAGACATATATGGAATCACATACAGATCAAGAGATACGTCTAATGAATGCTTACCTGATAACGTGTTGGCTGATTGAGAATGCTGTTAAAACTGTGTGATTCAAAAACTCTTGAGTTAGACTGAGTGAAGAGGTTTAACTAGGAAAAAATACAATTAACCTAGTAAATTAGAATACATTCATTTGGAATAAAAAATATAATCCATTTATTCTCCTTGATAACATTTCTGGAGCCAACATTCCCAAGAAACATTTTGTGGAAGTTGAGCTTTGTAAGTGATGTAATATATTCCCAAAGGTTAAAATTACTGTGAGCAATATGCTCACATTTATCAAAATGTTGGCACAATGTACTACTGTAATAGAACTATTTAATTGAAATTATATGTTAAAAATTGGCTCGTAAGAAACATAATTTTTCCTCGGGACCTTGCATACTTTATCAAAATGTACTCAAGGCATCTAGAAGACCAAGTTCCATAGAAGTTCGATCTGTTCCTGAGTCTAAGTTCCTCTCCTAGACTTGAATAGAAACACATTGCAGGTTCAGATGGCACCATTTGGTATTTTGCAGCCCTAAAATATTAGCCAAAATAACCCATCTTCCAAAGTATCTTGGCCTTATACTGAGTCAGGTTCACAATTTTGGAGAGAATTGGGCTAAAGAATTTTGGTTTCCTTTTCTTTTCTCTCTTTTTAAGGTTTAGCTTTTGAGTGGGTAGGAACAGGAAACAAGAGGAACCCACAGGTACTACCTACTCTGCACATATATCAGCAGGTCTTCTTATCTGTGGACAAGCTCTGCCACTGTAAGGTGTGATTCCAAGATGTGGCCCTCTAGACGAAGAGATGATTCACCTCACCACCTAACTTCCCACCATTGTAACTCAGGAAGGTGTGGGATGCTAAGGGAGAAGGAAGTAGCGCTGATAGGAAAGGACCTTTCTTTGCTCTCTTACAATTGTGCCTGGCGAAAACCTTAGCTAACAAAGTTAATTCTCCAATCAGCCACTGGAGGCCAGTATCTGATTGCTGACTGAGGTAAGCTGTCTAGGTTAGCTGGAAAGATTTCTCGAGGCTCCTTCCTCTCTTCTAAAAAAGAGAAATAGAAAAATATAATTTCTCCAAATTTCTGCTACATTCAATACATGAAGATTATCTATGAATATGAGTAATATTAAAGAGATGTAAACGTCTGTATGCCAAATTTAAAAAATAAAATCAAAAATTTATTTGTTTATTTATTGTGGCAGTTTTTAACCAGATATGGGAAGAGTGGAAAGTCAAGGAGCAAGCCTCCTGAGAGATCAGTGTCCAACTTTCTATTTCCAGCATCTTCTCTGAGAAAGGCTATTCTTTCCTGTCAATGGTACCATACAGGCAGGAGAGGACAGCCTAAATGCAACGCTTCCTTCCCGTTCCTGTGAACAGGCTGTGTTTTCTTTACAGGGGTCTAGGTAGCCACAAGCCTACTGTGTGTGCTCCTCTCAACCTAACGTTTAGTATTTCCCCTTCTACATTATGATAATATCAGGAATGAAGTCAGTGAGACCTGTTGCCTAGAAAAAGAAAATTCAAGGTATGTTCTGTGAAGTGCAAGGGTTGTGACCTCCCACATTTGAGAGACTTCTTTTTTGCAATAAAGTCTCAGTTAATAAATCCCCAGAAAAACAAAGACCCCTCAAAGCAAAGTCAATTTCAGTAGCAGCAGGAGCTGCCCAGGGTGACAACTAGAGCCCGACTCCTTTAAGAGACCAGTTACCTCACAGCTGAAGGTACAGCTTGCTGAGAGGAAGTGGGCCGGTAACCAAGGGTGGACTCAGGTGCTGAGCATGAGGCATCCAGGTGCCGCAGAGAGAGCTAGGCATCTGATGCTAAAATACTTGAATTCTTCACCTACCCCACACTGGTCAGTTTATGTGACCTCGCATAAGCAAGTTATCTGAATAGCTTCAATTGTCTTATCTATAAAATGGGAATAATGATAATACCTACCTCACAGCGTTGCATGAGGTTCAAATGTACAGCAAAGCACTTTGTAAACTGTGAATGAGGAAGGGCACTGATATTTGTTGAGGCTGGAACTTTGTAGATCTCATATAATCCTCACAACAACTCTACAGAGTTAGACAATTGTCTACAATTGGTGGACAATTAAGGCTCAGAGTTGTGAAGTGATTTATCCATGTTCCTTGCTAATAAGCCACAAGTGCCACAATTCAAATCCAGGTCTAATGCCGAAGCTCTCTTCTTTGTGTTATACTGCTTCTCACTGCATACATGAGGTATTATTTTAAATTATGGGCTGTCACAACCAATTGCTGACTTGTAACCCAATAGCCTTAAAAGCCCATATCCAGGTCAAACAAAAAAAGATTTAAAAGGTCACTTTCTTAAAGAATGCAATTCTTGAAGATTCAAAACAATTTTAAAAAGCAATAAATCAAATTGCACTAATCTTAACTTTTTCTCCCAGTTTCAACTGAGAAAAAATATCTACCTTCACTCAGGAAGGCATATGCTTTATGGAGATAACATTGATATCTTGTGGGCTTTTAGGATGTTATAGCTACAGACCATTTTCACAATTTTAGAAAAAGTTATACTTCATAACTTTGTTCCTGTCTGCCTCATTCCCTATTATTTAGGTTCACTCACATCCTTCTATCTATACCAATTCTATCTCTGAAAGTTAGTTCATGATAACAAAGTACCATCATGAAAATTATCTTCTTTGTTAAAATTAAACTATGACTCAACTGGGATAACTCAAGGGTTTCTTGCTTATTTATAAAATGAGTACTTATGATTATTTGAGGATGCTCTTGGGCCTGTATCTATTTTATGGCACTAATGGAAAAAAGATTATTTAGCCAAATAAAAAGTTTCTACAAAAAAGGAGAATATGGTGGTGGTGAACTATACATACACCAAGAGGAAGGCTGGAAGTTTAAACTATGTAACTTCAGAATAACAGTTGAGAAGCACAGAACACACAAAAACAAAGTGTTTTCTAACAGTAACTTTTCTGGTTACTTTTAACAAGTTAAAGGCTTTTTTGTTTGTTTACAATCTGGTAGTTTATATGATGTTCTGATCAAAACAGGGCCTTGACTCAGTGACTTCTTGAAACATCATGAAAATATTTAGTATTAGTCTGTGAAAGACTGTGGACTAGACAGTTACTTTTGACATCTTCTAAGTTCACACATAAAAATTATTGAACAAACATCAAAAGACAAGAAGAAAAAGAGACAGAACATTTATTTTAAGGTCTTGGTAAGTTTTCGATACCTACCCTGGACTTTGAGTTACCCATTCCCATTTCTATATCCTTCTGAAGCCTTCTCCTTCTGCATTTGGGGAAGTTAACGATTCGCATGATGAAATAAACAAACGATTTTGGACTAGGAACTAGACTGAAGGGTGGAGGTAATGTTTTTCCATCATCAAAATAGGATAACCAAAGTTTTGAACGAGCAAACTTCCATTCTACATCACTGTCATCCTGTGTCACAAAATAGAAAAAAACCTAATTTTAAAAGCTAAATATTCTAGTAACTGATGCTAATAGGTTTTTTACAATGAATCTAAGTTATGTTTTTGACATGGGTAACTTATACACATTTATCTACATATATTCTATAGACCTACATAATAATCTCATTTTTCAAATAAAAGATTCTCATTCTCTTTCATATGCCTCTACCTGTACCCACTGAAATTTAACCAGAACTTCCTGTCTACCATCCAAAAACAAGGCAAAAAAGACAAGAAAAATAGAGTGCCAAGGAAGGATAAAAAGATTAATTCCTCCCTCTGTCCCCCACCCAGTCAATTCTGCATGTTTGACAATAGTTGCCTATTTCCCATCCTCCTTCCTCACCTATACCTATCCAAGCCAGGTTGTAGACACAGCATATTATATTTCAAGGGCAAGGGGAAAAAATGATTCTCAGATGAATTGCTTTTTGGCATTTCTGTGTTTACCATATGTCCCCAAATGTCACATAAGCCCCTGAGTAGCCTGATCTTGTCTTACATTTCCTTTCATTCTCTGTGCTGCCCGCGGTGATGGAGATAACCACCCTAACTGATAGGAGAAATGAAGGGAAGGGGGTTCGTACTAGGAGGAAGCTGCCTCTCTCAGTTCACACAGCCTAGAAGGCCATTAGAACCAAAACTTCTACTTTGAGGACACTATATATTATGAGTTTCTAAAACATACATAGAGATTTGGTGGAGTTAACAAACCACAAAGCACTAAAAAGACACTGAACACTAAAGTGAAGGACATAAGAAAACATATATACAACAGTGAAGAGAGGTACCAAACCCAGCCCAATCCAAAACCAAGAATCAAGAGATTTCTAGAATACTCAAAATTTTGACTCGATAAAGAACACCATTAGTGTTTGCCAAACATCTGGTCATTCTACCAGGTAGAATGGTGGGCTGGCTAATTGAAAAGAGAGTAATTTCCTTAGGGCCAATACTTCTTCTAGCCACTTATTTCAAAACTTCTGAAGTATACCCTGAGAGAAGGCAGAGCAGCAATAAATTCATGGGGAACCCTGCTGTGCACCTAGAAGACACCAGAATGTGGATAGCTATCTATCCAGGTAGAAAACACAGGGAAAGGCCCAGGCTCTGTGTGGATATAAGCCTCTTTGTTACATGAGCTGGAGCTCAGCCATAGGGTACAGAAGCAGATGTATACTATCAGAATAGGATGACAAGGATAGACACAGATAGAAAACAGATTTACCTCAATTTCTTGATATGAGCTATTAATCATAGCAATTAGCATGTTGAGTAAAACGACCACCATAGTTACGTTGTATATTCCATAAAGAACGTATCCAATATTTTCTATGAATTTGTGATCATATTTGAGCACAACAGAAGTCACTTCAGACAACCCAAATATTGACCAGAATAAAGTCTTGAAACTTTCTTCTACACTGTTGAAAAAATAAGGTAAAAAGTAAGTAAGTTAACAGTTTTCAATATCTAAGAGTGAAAAGTAAAAAACAAGTTAGGGTCTAATTACTGTACAGATGTAAAATGCCACCATAATATACTCCAAGAGTATAACCACTTTGTTATGACATTTCATAGAAAAATTATTCTCTCATGTTTTCAGGAACTGGTGATTAAATGGTGCCAGTGCCTAGCTTTTCTGAAGTTATCATCAAGTGAAAATTCTCTGAACTCCACAGGAGAAAGCTGAAGTCAAGTCACAATAACCATTCCTTTCTCCTACAAAAAGGGGAATTTGCTGTTTGATTTTGTACGTGATTTAGAAATTTAAATCAGGTTTTCTGTAGTAGAACAGGGTTGGGATTAAAATTATATAACCAATTTTTAAAAAGTATGTAAAAACATATTCCTTGCAGCATTATTTGCAGTAGGGAAGAACGAAAGTAATCTAAATATCCATCAATAGGGGACAGGCTAAATAATTCTGGTATAACCATATGATGGAATGCTATGCAGCCACGGTGGGAAAATGAGACAGATCAAGCTTTGCGTGTTTATATAAAATTATATCAAAGATATACTAAATGAAAAAATAAGATATAGCAAGTGTGAAATATTCTATCATTTAAATAAAAAAGAAGGGCACACAAATACTTATATTCTTTTTTATATAAAAAAAATCTCTGAAAATATTCAAAAGAAACCATTGCCTCTGGGAACTAAGGAGAAGTAAGAGACTGTGCCAAGGGTAGGGAGAAGGACAGGCATTTCCCTGTAGATGCCTCTCTATTTAAATTTTTTATCACAGGAATATATTACCTACCTAGAAATACTTAACTGGAAATGAAGAGGAGGCAACAGAATGAAAGACTCCTGTTCTTTTCCCTTAATTTATATAATGTACTTCCTGATTCTTCCACCACAACAATTAGCACTTAGACCCTCACCAGACTAATTACCTACTTTTGTCCCTTAATTAAATGATATTTGGCAACATGTATTTGGGTGGTTTTGTCACAGAACCAAATTGTAATCACTGGTGAACTAAATTAACAATAATTAAAGATTTATACACATAAAATTCCATTACACCTTCAAAAGTAAGTCTTTTTCTTTCTCAGAGAAAGATTTGTGAAAAAGTACGTTTTAAGTTTGTTATAACATATCCTAAATAACAATGAATTTTATAGATTTGTAGGTTTTAGTACTAGTTTATTCATTCACTCATAAAACAAATATTAACACAGCATGTATTATGTTCTAGAAATTCTGCTACACCTTGAGGATGGAGGGTTGAATAGAACTCTATTCCTGTACAGTTACTCTCTATTACGAAACATTTGGCTGTGTGATGTTATGGTATAGATGCTGACAGGAGAGTAAGAAAAACTATAACCTTTTTGTTCCTGCCATTTATTTGACTGTATCACAAAATTCTCCTGCACCTTCCTATTGCTCCTTTGCAAACCTTGCTGCCCCTAGCTTCTCTTCAAATCTATATGGAGTGCATGTGTGGGAAGAGGGGGATAGTAAAAAAAGAAAGGACACTGGCAGTTCTGAGCTCCTACTGTGGGCAAGAGGCTTTATATAACTCACCTTACATAATTGTCACAACGACCTTATTTAAACTTTATTGTGCTTATTTTAAAAATAAGGAAACTGACACTGAGAAATGTTCAGGAACTTAACCAAAAGCCACAGCTAGAAAACAGCAGAGATCGCATTCAAATCCAGGTCTGTATGATTTTCAGCCTATGTCCTTTCTATTACATTGTATGGTCACATCCCTAGACAAAACAGTGAAGAAAATAGAATGTATAAAATGAGTTACCATAGAGTTAAAAGGAAAATAGGGGCAGGGGTCACACTGTGTGCAAGATCTCTTTGTCATTTCCCTGCTGGGTTCAAAACAGGTTTTTTCTTCATTACAATAAAGCAAGTTTCAAATCTCTTTCACCTCCAAGACCTGTTCTATATTAACTATTAAAAAATTCATTTTAGAACAATTGAGATGTCTTCAAGGGCTTGATATTCTACTGTGATCTACAGAGTACTTACTGAGTGTATAGTTTGTTTCCAGTAGTGGCATTATTGGGAACAAAGGGAGAGCAGGGAGGGTTTATGACCTCCCCACCTGGAAGAACTGCAGTACACAGCAGGGACCCTATGTCCATGACAACCAAACACCACCGGGTGAGAACAGATCTCACAATCTGGGTGTCTCCATGCTGAAAGAACTTAAAGGGAAAATGACTAAGGAAACTTGATCAAAGAAGACTTCATGGAAGAGGTGAGTCTCCAGTGCAGAAACCAGTATGGCCAAAGGAAGAAACTGGTATTACCATGATAGTGGGCTATAAAATGTTTAGCTATAATTTCCTCTTACTCGACTCCCTGTACTGATCAATGAATACATTAAAATAAAAGCTGATGCTTCCTTTTTGAAAGAAGAGTACTGGCTATAAAATGATAAAACTAATTTTAATGTTATATATAATGCAAGAGACACCCGGTATTATAAATCTGTTATCCTGTTTTCTTAATATAGCCAGTTTTGTCTAGGGTTTTTCCAAATTCTGACCCATTCTGTGGTCAAACTTTCACTAAGCTCACAGATGAGCCTTCAGAGCAATGTAATCACGCACAAGCACTAACTGTTTTTGATGGATTATTTTCTGTGCTTAAAAACATCTTTATTACAATCAGAGAAATTTTTCCTTTGTTTTCTGTAGATTGGTTAGAATTTCTCTTTCCTTTATAAAAAGATGTTTTACTTACGTGGTAAAAGCAGCATTTACTTTAGCCCCAAGGTAGTAAGAATAAAGTATGAACATGCCAATCATAAAGGCAAAAAACACCATAATAAAGAGGACCATGAACTTGAATATGTCCTTTACAGTCCTTCCAAGAGAGATCTGCAGGGGGCCAAAGCTCTCATTTGCAGGGAGGATGTACGCAATCCGAGAGAAGCTGAGTACAACAGCTATGGCATAAAGGCCTTCAGATATAATCTGAGGGTCAGAAGGGAGCCATTTATCTCTAGCTAGAAAAAAAGAGAGAAAGAGATTAAAAATGGAGCTTTCTATTCATTGTCAACTATGCAAAGCAAATACCTTAAATAGGATCTATCTTGTAGGTAGGTGGTTACCATCTCAGTTGAAACTACTCTAGATTTAACTAACTGTCCAGGGATTATTTTCATCTTCAACCAGAAACATAAACTCTATATTACTTTCGATGGAGGGTACACTATTATAAAGATACTAAGCTGACTTCACATTGAGCAGAAATAGAATAAAACACAAAACATGAAGAGGTTAAAACACTTCGTTAGACACAGACTGTTTCCAGGATGACAAAACAACTGACTTGACTGATTTGTCCCTTCAGTCATTACATTTACTGACCAGTTATTTTGTCATCCTATAGGCACAGCTGGAGTGTAACTTCTTTTCCATATTTTGTGGGAAAATTAGTTCATCCAACAGTTTATGCAAATAAAATATTTCGAGGAGTGAGAATGTCACTGAATCACAATGGTGCTGACAATATGATATCTCAGCAATATAACTTGTCCCTGAAAAATGTAAAATGCCACTGAAGTGAAAGAATTTTGGATACAGATTCAGAATGAGGACCCCTAAAAACCCTTTCAAGGTCACTTATTAAGTCTGCAGCAGACCTGTCAGGTCAATGAAATATTATGTGCTTAATTTTGTGCAAACTGAGTCACCCCCAAAAGAATGGATGTATTGCAGACATCTGCAATAACAACAAAACTTAACATTTATTGATCAGTTCAGCCACTGTGGAAAGCACTTTGAAGATTTCTCAAAGAACTTAAAACAGAACTACCATTCAACCCAGCTGACATAAACAGAGCAGCAATGAAACTGGAAACTACTAGAGGGAGGAGGAAAGGGTTGAAAAACATCTATTACGTATATGCTCAGTACCAGGGTAATGAGGCCATTCCTAGCCCCAAACCTCAGAATCATGCAATATACTCAGGTAACAAACCTGCACAGGTACCCTTTGAATATAAAATAAAGGTTTAAAAAATTAACATTTCTTGACTATTTAATATGTGTCAAACACTGCTTTCAATGATCCTATGGATTTGATATTATTATCTTCTTTTAGAGATGCAGAAACCAGACTTAGAAAGGTTAAAAACTTGATCAAAACAATACATATAGAAGATAGGGAGGCCTGAATCCATCCCTTCCAGACAACAGCCACTAAATATACACGAATAAATTTAAAGAAATAGGTTATGAAATAAAATGCAATCTAAAATTAATTATTTAATTACAAATGGTGATCATTTGCTCATTTGAACAAGTCTCCTTAGTATATAAAAATCTTTGCTTTCTGAGAATAACAGAGGTGCTTATTTACATCTTACATTTTGGAGCAGAAGTCCAGCCTTCAATAACGTTTACATGCTACTTGTACTCATCACAATGTGCCCTAATTACACCCAAAAAAATTATTCTTCACAACCAGATCACAGTTAAACTCTGCGCCTGAGTTCCCCTACCTGTAAGATGAAGATTAGACAGCACTTTCTAAAGTCTTTTCCAGATTTCAGATTTTACAACTATATACAAATTCGCTAACTGTGGCTCCTCAATTTGGCCTCAAGAGAAGGGAAGCTAACATTACTTACCATTGGTTTGTACGGGGCAAGGAAGGCATCAATGTTCTTTCACACTGGGTGTCAGCTGAGGTCTCATTGCTCTTCATAATATAGAGATATTTGACATGAACCCCATTCCATGACATGTAAGCAGGACAACATCTTCCCCCAACATTTCTGCTGGTTCTCCAGAGCTTACATTCTCATGGTCACTTTAGGACCTACTTCCTGCCTCTGTTGAATTACTGTTCACTTTGCCTGCAGAGCAGTTTGGCAACTTTTATTATCTATCTCCTGCTCTCAGGGACTTATCTTTCACATCAAGCAGTTTATCAAACTATTCTTTCCCTAATTAAGACAGTCTCCCAATAGTAATTATCTTATAGGCTTAAAGGTAATTTTCTTCCACCTTGTAACGTTGTCTTTTTATAGCTATGAAAACTGAGGCACAGTGAAGCAAGTTAACTTGAACAAGTTTACACAGTAAAGGGGATCAGAGCCTTGAAATGAATCCAGTTTTGTAGGTTCCAAAGTTCATGCTTTCTCCACTGTCCATAAATACTCAATATACCTCTTATACTAAACATACTCTAATTGGCATTTCCTTCCAAAATGTGGTTCCAATACCTTTCCTGAAACATAAGGAGACACTGAAGCTAATAACTTACCGTAAGTGAAATACTGTATCTCTGGTGGGAGTGTCACTTCACTGAGGTCGCTCTCTTGGACATAACTGTCCACATACTGTTGTGCCTTTGTTGCCTGAAGGAAAGCTAGGAATCTGGCTGTGAAAGCAGCAATGAAGATGGAGAGCATCCCAAAGTCCAGCACATTCCACAACTGCAAAATGTATTCCCTAGGTCCTTCCAGCCAGAGCTCTTTACACTCAGACCACATCATTCCTGTCACAACAAATACAGAAGGTGCAGGTCAGATTTTACAGGCTAGACCAAGAAGCCATTACTGTGTCCACCATCAGGCCACAGGTATCTCTAAAATACCCTACACATCAAGCACAGTACTAGGCATCACAAAGCATTGACTGACTGACTGTATGGTCACTGAGGCCTGGTGCAGAGTTAAATGGAAGAAGCTCCTGCTAAGAAACTAATTCACCCCACAACACTAGAATTTGGAGAAGCAGTCTACCTGTGGCACCAGAAACGTCTCTATTCATGTAGAGGAGGTAGTGGAGGGGGGTGAGGAGAAGAAAGAAGGAAAGAAAATAAGCAAGGAATGTTCTTCAAGTTGTCCTATAAGATTTTGGGGAAGAAAATATGTTCTATATAATCACAATGGTTAGTTATCAAACTGTAGTGATTATTGGAGAAATAAGTCCCCAAGATTTTTAACAAGAAGAACGGTTTACCAATAATACTCATATCACATTCTTATCCCCTCTTCTCATTTCCATGTCATGCTAAAAAGTGAGCAACATTATTTGAAAAAGACGAAACCCTTAAGTGAGAAGCCCTAGGACATTCTGAAGAAACTGAAAGCAGAAAATGCCATTCTGGGACAAGAGGACAAAATAGTACAACTTAACAACTTAACAAATTGTCCTGACTACAATGAGAAGACATCAAGACTCACACTGGATAAAATAGATACAAAAATGACTTCGGATTAATCAGAAATAAACAACCTGGTTCCAATCTCCATTTCTTAGCAGAGAGCACAACAAATTCTTTTCCTCACATTACTTCAAATTCTTATTTTAACACAGCTATTCAAAATGGGTTATTGTAAGATGAAATAGGTTGGCACAAAAGTAATTGAAGTTTTTGTCATTTTAAAAATAGTAAAAACCACAGTTACTTTTGCACCCAACCTAATAACAAACATTCTGAAAATGAAAACTCTCCTAAAATCTCTGGAACTAAACAACAAAGAAAGTATTTGTCATCAGTTGATAGTCATTGGGTTATTTCACAAGTATTTCAATTAAATAATTGATCACAGTGAGTCACATTTTAAAACTTACATCTTGTTCAATAATTGAAATTAGATTTCTGAAACATGGTATATTTGTAATTAGGGTCGTGTTACACATAAAAAATTTTATTTAGTGTTAAGGGACACCTTTTAGCATTACCTAGCTAGAAAATTATTTGATTATTTTGCTATTTAGCTTATCTTGCAACAGTGATGTTGTCACCATATAACTTTTTTTCAATAGAAAATGGCAATTATTTCTATAATACTTTTTGGTAGAATAAATAAAAGGCTTACCAAGAACCCAGACCATAATTAGCATTTCAGTCCATGTAAACTGGGTGGTTTTCACCCTGAAGATCTGTTTGGGATAGTCAATAACCGTGATATTGGGCAGCGTGGTGATGCCTTCGAACCTGTCTGAGGCATTGAACACAAGCAGGCCCAGGAAGATGATGAAAGAAGCTGCATGTGCTACAAACTTCATAAAAGGGCTTCGCAGAATTTTCCCCAGCTATAACAAAACAAAGAGGAAAAGTTTGCTTCAGAAAATCTGGCTTTCACTTGTGGAGATTACAATATAGGGTTAAAAAAAAAATAGATGAAACGAGAACACTCAAAATTCTGCTTCTGTTTCCAAAAAGCTCTACATTTTGAAAAATATTCTTTTTAAGGGGGATGCTTCCTCCAAAAATAATTTAATAAGTCTTGAAAATTCACTGTTTCTAAATGTCCAATTTGTCTTACGGTAGACTGCATTCACAGATGCGCTTCTGGAAATCACAGGGCCTATACCAGTTCTTGCTTTTATTTTTACACAAAAGAATATGCAAAGTCCAGATTTTTAGGGTCTAGAAAAAGAAACTTCAACTTTGTACTGTGTAATTCTTTATTGCTTTGTAACTGAGATGTTATGAGGTTCTTACAGACTCATATAAGACATTAAAAACCCTTTGAAGACTAAAAAAATTACTACTACAGAAGTAAATTTTAGTTCTCATTTCTAAATATTCCAAAATCAAGTTATACCTGGTATACTATTTTTAAAAAAGCAGAAAATATTAAAACTAAGATGAATATTGCATCTGTTACTGCCTTAATAAGAAGAGGGAGATACACAATAATTAAAACCTCTAAGTAGGTTAACTTAATTGAAAGTAATCTCTGAGTTGGATAATCATGTAAATGGTACAAAAGGACTTCCAAAGTTCAGTTCATAATTATTTTAAGGTGACTCCTTTAAAATCCCCTATGATATAATGTCCTTAAAAGTCCCATGTTCCTGTGAAAATGAAAAACAATTCCTCCTGTCCCAAGGGCCTCCACAGTCTAAGAATTAGGTACATTTGGTAGACTTATCAAGTATGTTCTCTCTTCTACACTCTCAGACCCTGCTTTTTAACTCCGTCTGTGACCTTATAAAGTACTGAGGTTCACATTTAAAGGACTGTAACTCCGAACAAATGTTTTTGTAGGTCTAGAACCTTAATGTGATGTCAATAAATGATGAAAGAGATGTCAGGTATTTTTGGGATTGAACATGAATGCACACAAAAGTCATATTTTCCATGTTAGACACAGAAAAATAAACAACACATTTACACATCACCTTGTTACACAGCTGCAAAAAGGGCACGTTTGGGGGTAGCTTATCCATAGCACATAGGAATTTATTGGGAATTACCAAGCCTGTTTCTCCTAAAGGTCAATCTCTTAGAACTTTAAATAACATGAAAAGAAAGCAGAATGCAAATCTCAAAAATGGGATATACATGGAAAATTCTTGCTATGTTGCCTTTTTGTCATAAGATAGATGGTATACGGCAGCTCTAAACATGGGCTCTGGGAATGGCTCAACTTCCATGTTTCCCTTCTCTGCAGAGCACGCCACACTGTTAGTTGTACTTGTAAAAGTGCAGGGAGAAAAGAAGTGGACTCCAAGATGGTTACTTCAGACCTGATGGAATGTTTTAACTGATTAAGTTCCCCTAAGAGACAAACACTTCTAAACCCGAACTTTCCAACTCATTTCCTTCAGAAAGGAAAATTATTTGGGTAAGATACGATTTTTGTTTTATTGCATGCCCTCTCATATTATTTATAGTTTTTCATCTTTAGTGTTTATGTATTTGAAGAATCTTAAAGTAATTTTCCATGATATGTAACAAAAGAACTTGGCTGAGTCATCAAACACAATCAAAATGACAAACGTTCTGCCTTCACGTGCATGGGCAACTCAATGATGAAGTGAGATGGATGAATGTTCTCACACGTATATGGTGTTTGCAGAGCAGAACTCTGCTGGGGGAGATTGCTGAGCCAGAGAGATGACAGATTTCCAGGATCACTTGTAAGTGCCCTTGACTCATTTTGCCTTGAAACTACCTCTGATTTAAACAAAACCAAATTTCAGAATGTAAAAACAGGATTAAAGGATCTCAGCACAGCTCCTTCTCTCTGGCAGTGCCCATAACTGGCATGAATAGTATTCCTTTCCACATCTTGCTAGGGGATCTCTTGGGCACAACTAAATTGATTTTACATTGGAAAGTTGAGAGGAGAATAAAGGTACTAACCAAAATGATCCAAGCAAAAACAAATAAACAATCTAAAAAAACCTAAAATCCCTGAACCTAAATCCTACATTTTTAAGAACTGTCTGAATTAAGACAGGGCTAGGGGAACCTGACATGCATTTTCTTGAAGACTTTGGACACCACCACTGTTCTCAACTGTGCTTCACACACTCAACCTTGGATTTCTTCTGACAGGTCCAAATGGGTTGCCCTTCTAGTTCCCAGTGTAACTGCTTCTTGGTACTACTGCTATAGTGCTCTCCATTCCCCGATCTGTTCACAGGCCAACCCAGCTGACACTCTACTTATTAAGCAGTCAATAAAATCAGTACAAGTGCTACTTCATTCAAGCACCTTTTCCTTCTCTGTCTACCATGAGGATTTTATCTTAAAAGAGCCAAAGTACTTTATGCCTGCAAATGTGATCTATCCCACTGGTACCGAATCCTTTTTCATCCCTTATTTGAATTGATCCAGTAATTAAAAAGGAGAATTTGTGTTCTTGAGTCAATTAACATTCAGGGTAAAACTGATAAGAGTCTTAAGCATGAAGCTTTTTCTTTTTTTATCCCAAAGAGACATAGTACACCACCACAGAGGAAATAGATGTAGAAAGCGAGTACCCTGCTGCAAGGTGCAACCCAGTAGCCAATAGCCAGGAATGGAAGGCCCAGGGCCACGACCAGCACAACGAGACACTTGATCGCTATGGTCTGCTCCCTTAGGCCTGAGAGGTTCTCATACCAGATTGTCAAGAGCTGCTGCTGGCAGTTGGGATGAGCCACAAACTGTTGAGAGAGAGAGAGTTTGAGAAGGGGAAAGAAAGGTAAGTTACCATACCATTGTCAGTAGTTCAACTATTAAATACATGTGCATCCTAAAGACATTAAAGCATATTTTTCTAGCATATTGATACTGGAAGGTTCTGGTAATATTCTTCTTTGCTTTCCCTCCATTTTTCAAAATTATTTCAGAACTAATAGAAGAACTAGAATGGAAATGAGAGGATAAAATTGGTGTTGTCCTTAATCATAGTTCTTTTTGATAGAAACCCTCCATGATTCACAGATTTCTCTGTGGAATCTGGGTGACATCTGGCTTCTTTTGTAAAAATGTGTCCCATCTTGCGGTTGGCCAGCTTACTTGCATTCAGTTCAAAATGGAAAAGAAAAAAAGTTACTTGGTTTATTGTAGACTATAGCTAAAAGAGAAATGTGTGAAGTTTTGTGAGCAACCCCTAAAATGCTACATATAAAAAAAATATGCATGATGCGCCCTTTGTGTAATGATGTACTATTACTGCAAATCTGTAAAAGGTCTGAAAAATAATCAATGAACCTGCAAATATTATGCTGGGTCTACACATGCACTTCTTCCAGGAACTGACATCAAATTTCACTTCCCTCCTGTCCTCTTTTTTATTGCTTCCTTTATCAAAAGGTCAAAATATCACGACTATTTATCTTCAGGAGTTATTTAATAAATAAAATTCTAATCAGGAAAAATGAGCAAATTATACTTATTTCAGCCCAGTCATTTGATTTTTTCCCATTTGATTCTGTTAAGTTATCTGCCTGCATCATTTAGAGGGACTGGGATTTCTTTAAAGCCCTGTCATTATTCAAGAAGCAGAATGTATTTGTAGTCAGGCCCATGTAAAGGTCCTTATGCCAAAATCTGCTCATTTGTAGCCAGATATGCCTTTTTATGAATGGTCATATGTTCTTTGTCCAAGCTCAGGAATTCAAAAATCAACTATGAGTGACAACATATTTTTTAAAGGAGTTCTTAGTAACACAAAAATCAAGGTGTCACTGTCTTCTAAAAAATAGAATAAACAGTAATGATGAACCTGTTAAGAAACACCCATGAAATGTTTTTGGGAGCTGAGAAACAAAGAAAGTAGCTGCAGTTCCTACTTGTCAAAAGGTTCCTCTTTAATCAAGTTGTAGTTAATGATCCTGATGATTCTTAGTAACTCCGGGCAATTCCTAGAGTTATTAATATTTGGCTCTTTATCAAAGCCCACCTACAAGGAAACGCACAGGTTTCCACTGACTGGTGCATAGTTTCCCATGAATAATTTTAATTAAAAAAGAAAGTCTCATCTCTTAGGACAGGTGATGGAGGTGCAATTTCCCCCAAATCCCTGCTTTTGCCCCCAGAGTGCACCCAGTGGAGAAGTCCACTGATGGCTGCACTGGCAGCTGCCTCTGCACCACCATACACGGGAACTCAATGACCCACGGACAGAGGTGGTGAGAATAAATTTACAAACATTAGATTTGAGATAAATAACTGAGTTATAATGTTGAAATTCTAAGCCTCAGTGTGATGGGTATTAGAAAGCTAGGCTTTCAGGAGGTAATTAGATCATGAGGGAGGAGCTTTCATGAATGCGATTGGTGCCCTGATAGGAAGAGGTGGGAGAGCTTGCTCTCTTTCCACCATATGAGGATACTATGAGAAGTCAGCAGTCTGCAACCCAGAGGAGAGCCCTCACCAGATCTTCACCATGCTGGCATCCTGATTTTGGATTTCCAGCCTCCAGAACTGTAAGAAATTTTTTTTTTTTTTTTTTTTTTTTTGAGATGGAGTTTCGCTCTTGTTGCCCAGGGCTGGAGTGCAATGGCACAATCTTGTCTCACTGCAACCTCCGCCTCCCAGGTTCAAGTGATTCTCCTACCTCAGCCTCCCGAGTAGCTGAGATGACAGGTAGGTGCAACCATGCCTGGCTAATTTTTTGTATTTTTAGTAGAGACGGGGTTTTTCCATGGCAGTCAGGCTGATCTCGAACTCTCAACCTCATGTGATCTGCCTGCCTTAGCCTCTCAAAGTGCTGGGATTACAGGTGTGAGCCACCGCGCCTGGCCGAGAAATAAATTTCTGTTGTTTATAAACCACCTAGCCTATGGTACTTAGTTACAGCAGCCTGAACTAAGAAGCATATTTTATCATGCGAGTTCCTTTCCATTCAGTTTTCAAAATCCCAGGTCCTGATTTTCAGTAGCTGCTAGTTGCTAAGGATATATTAGATCTTCTCTCCAAACCCAAGATTTTGTCACTTTTCCAAGGTTGTAATTTTGAAAACAGCATTTCACAGACCAATGCAATCATTATTTGAACTCATGAATATAATCAAAGTTGAAGGCTTCCTGAGTATATGTGACAACTTCCTAGGATTCTTATTGAGAACTTCTCCAAACTTCCACTTCTGCCCCTGTACTGTATTTAGATCATTTCCTTCCTGCTTCACCTCTCCCTCTATGGTCCCTAATGTCCTTTATTCATTCATTCATTTATTCACTCATCAAAATGTCTTAAGCCCCTCCTATGATCCAGGCAGGGGCAGTATGATCCAGATCCAGGCAGTATATTGGGCAAGTATATTGGTACAAGAAGATAAAAATGGAAGCATCAGAGTTGAATTAAGTGATAAGAGGTCATTGTTCTAGGGTACACAGTAAGCTTTGAATAGACACAAAATAAGCTATTATAACTGAGACTTCAACTCATATGCTTGTCAAGATGCCTAATCAGAATTTAAAATAGTCTTAATTTGAATGTTGGTATAATCATCTTGATATTTGAAGGATCTGCATTTGAGGGAAGTTAGACAGATATAAATAAAAGGCATCCCTGGTGACTACAGCCAGGCTAAGCTTGGGACAGGTAATGGTTCATTCAGGGTAAACTACAGGTGGAATATATAATGTCATCAAATCAGATTACCACTTAGGATATCAACAATGCAGTTTTTAGACCAAGGGTTTCTGTAGGAAACAAAATTCCCATGAAGTTAGGAGACAGGTAGACATGTGTCTATATGGAATTGATGGACAAATTTCCCTTTTGTGAGTATCTGGTTAGCTATCATTTGAATGTGTCTCCTCCAAAATTCAGGTGCTGTCAATATGGTAGAGTTAACAGGTGGAGCCTTCAAGAGGTGATTAGGCCATGAGGGCTGCTCCCTTGTCAATGGTATTAAGACACTTATAAAAAAGGTTTTATGCAGCATTCAACTAGCTTGCTCTTCTACTCTTCTGCCATGTGAGGACATAGTGTTCCTCCCCTCTAGAGGATGCAGCCCTCACCAGACTACCAAACCCACTGTTGCCTTGATCTTGGACTTCCCAGCCTCCAGAACTATGAGACAAGAAAGTTTTGTTCGTATAAGTCTCTCCATCTCAGGCATTCTATTAAAACAACACAAGTGGACTAAGGCACTGGTCGTTCTTAGGTTTTAAACTCTTGAGGACAGAAATATTAATGTTATAGTATATCTCCCTTTCCTACTCCTTGTCCTTGGACTAATTTTTAAATTTGAAGATGTGCTTTATGGCATTCATTACATATTTATAAAGATTGCACAGCTTCAAAGACTTGATGGACTCAATCCTTTCCATATGGCATATATGTGATGGTCAGTCTTTGACTTGATGTAACCTGTACAACAGTGCAAACCCTTACTCTACATTAAGTAGTAGCCAAAATTGTGGTCTTTGCATTTTGCCTGTTACACTTTAAAATTCAGCTTAACAGGTCTATCTACTATGCTACTAATTCTACTCTTTTTTTTTTTTTGAGATAATTATACACCACTTCATGGATTCTGTTGATTTCATTTAATCCACACAAACAGATTTTCCTCCAATGATTTAAAATCCTAATGCGAGTACACAGGAAGCATTTCAAAAAAGAAAGTAAAGTCAGTACAATAATAGCAAGCGAAGGCAAAAAAGCTAATCCCTTTAGGAGATGAGTTTTGGTCTTTTCAATGACTTCGAAATAGGGCAGTGACCTTTATACCTGAAAAGTGTTTTACCTCCTGAAAAATCTCCTTATGTCACTACACCAGTTACACCCAACTGGATAACATTTGTATGCTGTTTTCTAACTTCAGTGGACCAGCAAATTGAAGTTATCACAAAAATAATACCCTTATTTTGAGTTTTCTGATTTAAAGAGAGAATCCTTGACACAAGAAAATCTCAATCTTTCAATTGGACAATCAGCATTGAGAACAAATGAAATGTTTTTTTCTTGCCAAATGACTAATAGATTATAAACTGAACCACTGATCAGGGCAGGTTAGGGAAAACAATCAAAATTTAAATTTAAAAATTAATTAATGTTACACTGTTTTGCATCAAATCAGTCTTCACAAAAACTGTCTTCATGGGAATACTGTTGTGTAAAAACATGGTAGGAACTCTGGATTTGTTTTTAATGATACTGTTAGAGCCACAATTCATACAATTTAAAGGAAAATATTCTTGTAAATAAAAACTAGGCAATTCAACTTCTTTTTAAAACTCAATGAATTATAAAATATAAACCCAAAACTTATATTGCACAGGTTTTCTGGATTTTCAAACTTGCTGAGTGAAAAATGCTCTGTTATCTCTTGGTGCCTGGGGAAGACCAGGACAAGAGGCCACAGAGTACAGGACACAGGACTGTGCCAGCCAGCACACCCATTCCAAAGTCTCAGTGGCATATTTACAACTCTCTCTTAGCATTTCTTTAATTCTGGGCTTCCCCTGTATACTTTTTGCACAGAAAGTGGATACACAATGGATGCTTTTATCCTGTTTATACTGCTGCATGTTTCTTTTTAGGATGGCTTTTCTACATTTAAATCTAATCCTACTATGGAGGAAATATTAATAGGAGAACAGAAAGGAAGAACTCAGGAAATGTTCTCCTTCTCTTTCTGAGAGCCCAGTTTTCCAGATTCAGTGGTCTACCAAGCTCTAGTATCTTTTGTCAAAAACTTTCTCACAACAGACATAGCTCATGGTGAAGCAGGTGGAACTTTGGTTATTTCTATGGTGGGGAGTGGATTAATGTTCAGCTGCACATCACAGAGCAGGATAGAGGTAGAGTCAGAATTAGAACTCAAGACTTTTTGGAAGGGGCAAACAGTCCATTATTCTAATTAAACAAAATTAGTGTTTTTGCCTAAAAATTAATTTTCCTGTACCCATTTTCAGAAAATCAAATTTCATCTTCCAGTCTATTCCATTCTCTTTTCAAAGAATAATATAGGTATTTCTATAAATAGCAATAGTGTTTACTATCCTTCCAGCTTTATAATTTACCTTAGAGATCCCTTAAAAATGATTTTAGGCTGGACGCAGTGGCTCACACCTATAATCCTAGCACTCTGAGAGGCTGAGGTGAGCGGATCACTTGAGGTCAGGATTTTAAGACCAGCCTGGCCAACATGGTAAAACCCCATCTCTACTAAAATTTTACAAATTTTACAAAAATTAGCCAGGCATGGTGATGGGCACCTGTAATCCCAGCTACTCGGGAGGCTGAGGCAGGAAAATTACTCGAACCTGGGAGGCGGAGGTTGCAGTGAGCCGAGATCTCACCACAGCACTCAAGTGTGGGTGACAGTGAGACTCCATCTCAAAAAAAAAAAAAGATTTTCAGATGAATAATCTCCAAAATCAATTCCCTATTAGTAAAGATGCAGGCAGATGGTTGCTGTTTTACTATCAGCACTGAGAATTATAAATTTTTATTCTTTGTTAGTTTGAGACAAGGAAAATGGTATTTGTACATTAGTATACGTTTATCACTAGAAGGTCTGAAAATTTTAAATATGGATGTTAGTCATTTGAATTTTCTCTTCTGTGACATGCCTATTCAAATCTTGTGCTAATTTTTCTACAGGGCTCTGGATGTTTTCCTTACAAATTTGTTTGAGTTCTTGGGATATTAAGAAGATCAATCTTTTGTGAGTTATAATAAAAAAAAAATTTTCCCAGTTTGCCCTTCACTCTTTTGTTTATAATCTTTCTGATGTCATACAGAGGTTTTAAATTATATGTGACCAGATTATTTGTATTTTTGCTTTGAGATTTCTTTGCTTTTAAATTAGAAAGTCCTTTCTGACATAAACATTAAATTCATGATCAGATACTTCCTATTCTGGTGTTTTATATATTCATTTACTGGATTAAGTATCATTGAGTTCTGTAAGGCCTGGGTTGAACTCATGCTTTGATTTCTGGGAAAGACCAGAACTCTGGAAATCTTGAGCCTAGTTAGAAGACAACAGACTCAGAACCAAAGCTGGGAGTAGGTCTTGGGCAGTCGGTAGAAGAAAGACTTCCTGAGTCTCATATGTGGTCAATATGGCTTACCATTAGATAGGAATGGTTTCCTTGGTGGAATTATGGGTTGATTTGAATAAATATGAGTTTATTATGTTATCAGGGGGTAGGGGAGTCCATATAAAGTTACTTTGAAATCCCAATGACTTGCATATGGCCATAGACTACCTCTATGCCAGAGTGGGCAGGGTTTATGCATCATTATAACCCAAGATGTGGTTTTGCTTGGAGACTAGAAATGAGATGGTGGGAAAAGGAAGCAGCAGGAGTGGGTAGAGTGATATTTTTCCTCCTTGTGAGAGTGAAGACAGGTGAGTGTTGACTGAAAATGAAGGAAGCCTTTGAAAGGAAGAAAGAAAGGAGGAATTGGGGCTTTGCAAGTACTCTGGAATAGAATTCTTATACACATTTATTATTCTAGAACAGAATTCTTACGTACATTTATTATTCTAGAATATAATTTTTACATACATTTATTGAGTGAGGATTCCAAATCAAAGACTTTACTCTAATTAATACTCCTTTTATAGCATAAAACAAACAAAACCAGGAAGGTTTGCAAAGTCCTGAATCTCCTTACAGTTCTAAATATTTTTTTTGGTTGCCTGATGGTTGACTGGTATCAATTTATTATTAATGACACCTCATACACTGTAACCTACATGCCAATTTATTTAAAGTTAACATGCAGGAAGAAAGAAACTCTGCAAGGCAGTTTAGTTGACAGAAGCACAAGTGTAGATGAACTGTCTCTGCTCATATAACACTTTCAAAGCAATGATAAAAAACCAGTGACAACTGAAATCAATTCTCTCAGGTGCCAAAGAAAAGAGATACATATTGCAGGATGTGTAAATGTATGTCCACAGAGTTTTCTGAAAAACAGTTTACTATCAATCTTGCTCAAAATTATCCTTTTCCCTCAATATATTAACAACTAAACCTCAACTAGCAAGAACACTCTGAGAGGAGGGCAATTTAGCCAATTTAATTATCTTGTAACATACTTTCTTTGAAAAGTGGTTTTATTTCCATCTTTACTGAGAATCTTCACATTTGACTGTTCTATGAAATAGAAGAGAGATCTGCCATTAATGGTTGACCAAAATCTTGCAAATACTATGTGTATAAGTTTTCTACATTGTGGTAGCAGAAGTATGTGTGTCAGAAGAGAGAAAGACAGACAGGAGGGGAGAGAGAAAGAGGAGAAAGAGACAGAGACAGAGTGAGAGAGATTTCCCCATCCTCACTTGCTGCTAGGGTGCAAACATTGACTTGGGTCCACTGATCAGAGGCATTTTGACCAGTGGAAAGAGCCATATGAAAACAGGCAGGATTCAGAGCATCCTCTCTGTGCTGATATGGGAGCAGCAGAGACAGAATTGTTCCATTTGGGCCACAGAAACTCCCTTAGCAGGTCAGGGCTGTGCCTGGTTCTGGGTGAGGTTTTTGGAAGCACAGCTTAGATAAGCTTGTTCCTGTACCTCTTCTTAGGATTCTGTAAGCTTCCTCAATATCACTCACTAAATTCCTTCCTGCTTAAATAAATTCCTCTTACTAAGGACTTGATTCAGTATAAGGGGCATGAAATCTGTCTTTGATGACTAAGGATTAACTAGCTTAAGAGTCATCACTCTGGGTGTGAATTTTCATAATGTAGAAATGTTATTATTAATAGCTAATACTTATTGAGCAATCACCATGTACTACTGTGTGCTAATTACTTTACATGCATTATCTCATGCAATCCTTAAACAAATGAGTAAGTAGGTACAACTATTGTCTTCACTTTACTAGTGAGCAGATGGAGGCCTGGATGGTTAGATGACTTGCCCATGGTCACACAGGAGCACATGGTGGTGTCGGGACCTGAATCCTTACAGATTGGCTCTAGTGCCTGTCCTCTTAAGCACCATGTCACACTGCAGAAAAGACAGAACACTTGTCTCTTTGTAAATTGATCAACTTCATAAAACCAGAGCTGATAACAGATTATTTCTTTGTGATTTATCAGTTTCTCTTAAAGTACAAAAAAATCTGTTATATAACATGTATAAAGTATTGGATTCTGGATAACTGAGATGTTTATTATTGTGAAACATTATAACTACAATTTGTATGAATTATTTAAAAGCCCCACACAAGTTGGCAAATGGAAACACATAACCGTTTTTCTGCAGTAACCAGAGTAAAAAATCATAATTTTTATTTCTGGCACCTGCATGACCAACTCCATAGCTGTGTGACCTTAGACATGTCATTGAAGCTTGGCAATCCTCAGTTTCCTTGTAGAATAGAAACCCCATCATCTACTGACATATTTTGTAGATAAAATGAATAATAACAGACTTGCTGCAAGGATTCACATAAGAATGTAAAAGTGCCTTACAAAAACATATACGAGTAACAGCATTATTAATTGTATTGTAATTAACAGTTTACAGAGTGCTTTTGCATATCATAACCCATTTAAATTCCACCAAAACTCTGAGATAGATAAGAGATATTATCCTCCTGGTATATGAGGGAACTGAAATTTACAAATTTATGACTTATTCAAGGTCCCACCATGGGTAAAAAGTAGAAAGGATCAGAAGCTACATATTTAACTTGCAACTTTACCCCCTACAAAAAAATCTTTTATCAATAGCATCTATTTTTTATTTTATTTTTTGAGACAAGGACTTGCTTGCTCTGTTGCCCAGGCTGGAGTGCAGTGGTGCTATCGTTGCTCACTGCAGCTTCAAATCTCCTGGGCTCAAGTGATCCTCCCGCCTCAGCCTCCCAAGTAGCTGGAACTACAGGCACGTGCCACCATGCCTGGCTAATTTTTAAATTTTTAGTAGAGACAGGGTTTCGCTATGTTGCCCAGCTGGTCTTGAACACTTGGCTTCAAGTGATCCTCTTGCTTTGGCCTCCCAAAGTGCTGGGATTACAGGCCCCAAAGTGCTGGGATTACAGGCACATGCCATCATGCCCAGCTAATTTTGTTTATTTTTTGTAGACACGGTCTAACTATGTTGCCCAGCCTACTAGCATCTAGTCTTATTATTTTAATAATTTTCCTAGGATTATGGCATAGTTTGTATTACATGTTTATTCTAACATGGCACTAGATGAAAGTAGGCCCACTCACCTTTTTGACTTCATACTTAATGGCAAGTTTGACACGACTTAATGAAGCTTTGTGCCTGTGTACCTCCAGAGGTTCTGCTGATTCCAGATCTCCATTCAGAATGGCTTCTACCTCTTCTGAGTCTCGGCAGAGATCCAGCACACCCACTACAAAGTCTTTGCACTGCATGGAGAGCTTCCGATAGTCATTCTAAGAACAAGAGGGTTAGTGTTTTAACACAAATAATTTGCTTTTATTCAATGGAAAGTGTTTGGGTGAATTAGAAAAAGGTATCCCTTCTTTTGGGGGTAGAAAGCTGCAGCCTACCTGGATGCAAGGCTTGTTGAACTGAATACAGGCTGGATTGGTACCCACCCAACCCCTTAGCCAGGTTTCCTTCTCCTGCAAACAGCCCAACCATCCGAGATGGTTCTGAAAATGGCATGATAATAATCTCACTTATATGTGGAATCTAAAAAAGTCAAACTCAGAGAATAGAAAAGTGGCTACCAGAGGCAGGGGGTGGGAGTAAGAGGTAGGGTAAAGTAGAGATGAAATGAGGAGATATTGGTCAAAGTGAACAAAGTTTCATTTAGACAGGAGAAGTAAGTTTTTGAGATCTATCTGCACAGCACAGTGACTATAGCTTTAATACTATATTATATACTTCAAAATTGATGAGTAAAATTCAAATATCTCACTACCACAAAAAGTAATGTGAGGTGATAGATATGTTAATTAGCTTGATCTAATCATTTCACATTGTATACATCTATCGAAGCATCCCATGGTACCCCATAAATATATACAATAATTATTTATCAATTAAAAATTTTAAAAAGCATTTACTCAAAAAATTGTATGCTGAAAGACCAAAGGATCAAAGAGTTTTCTCTCTTTTGTACAAACAATAGTTCTTGTAAAGTCAAAACAAGACCATTTCTACATTGGAAATTTTTCTATAATGGCCATTTTTCTAAAGTGGCAATTTGATGTAGAAGATCAACTATATGTGATATGAAAGTTGTCAAAACTAAGTCAACTGTGTTAAAAACAACACAAAACAAAAAAACCCTGACTAATAGAGTCAGAGAAAGCCATGAAGGGAGGGTTCTCACACACAAAACTATCACAAGAGAGTGCAAAAACCATAACCTTGCATAAAGGCCATCGCAACCTTACACAAAAAATACCTCTGTGAGGACGTCTGCCCAGCAACTGCCTGTACAACTTTGGACTAGCTCTACCTTTGTTATTGTTCCTGGAGTGTAGCCCTCCTCACTTTTCTTTTAAAAAACTTGTCTTTCTTTACCTCCCTGAATACACAGAGTTTACCATGTCACTTGTATTTCCACTGCAATATTACATTCCCAGATAAATATGATTTTCTATTTTTTTTTTTTTTTTTTTTGAGATGGAGTCTTGCTCTGTCACCAGGCTGGAGCGCAGTGGCACAATCTTGGCTCACTGCAACCTCTGCCTCCCAGGTTCAAGCAATTCTCCTGCCTCAACCTCTCAAGTAGCTGGGATTACATTCAGGTGACACCACACTCGGCTATTTTTTTGTATTTTCAATAGAGATGGGGGTTTCACCATATTGGCCAGCTGGTCTTGAACTCCTGACCTCAAATGATCTGCCCAGCTGGGCCTCCCAAAGTGCTGGGATTACAGGCGTGAGTCACTGCACCCGGCCTCATTTTCTTTTAGAGAACCTCTCTCTCTGTTATTTAGGTTGACAGTGAAAAATAACTTGTCCGGTTCATTATCCCTTGCCTTACTGGAGACACTGCTTCTCGAAGTGTAGTCCTCAGAACCGTAGCATCGGCAGCACCTGGGTATGTGTTAGAAATGCAAATTCTCAGACCCCAGCCCACATGTCCTGATTTAGAAACTGAAGTAGGGCCCAGCAATCTGTGTGTGTTTTCACACACCCTCCAGATGATTCTGATACATGTTATGTTTGAGAATAATTGGTTTATAACGACTGTAGAGAGGTAGATGGATACCCACCTGTATACAGAGAGTTTTCTGTTTGTTTGTCTGAAGGGCATATTATTGTGCCCTGCAGAACTAGAAGAAGAGAAATATATCATTGTATGTAATTGAATTCTCAAGGGTTACAGAATTCAGTACCTGAGAGAAAAATTTCCAGGCCACTGGAACTAACACCTTGCTAAAAATAATCCATGAATCTTTAATTTCATTCGCATACTTATATACTGCCGTGGACTACTATAAGTAAGTCAGTTGGTAGCATTCCGTGTTGCCTTCTGAATGGAGCTTTGTTTCTAGTCCGTTTGTTCTAATGAAGGTGTCAACGACCATCTCCTGAGAAAGTGTCTCATTTTTGGAAACCCTAGTTCTACTTTTATGACTTTCACTAAAATTCTAGCCTATTAGGAAGGCTAACCAGATAATAATCTAATGTGGAACACTTGAGGAAAACAGAATTCCCCACTGTAACATGTCCTGAGACACTGTAAGTGTCTATATAACTAAGTAATATTTGGCACAGTAGAATTACTGGGCTTCCAAAAATCATACTTAAATACAAGACGTGAAGAATTCCAATTTTTTTCCTTTAAATAATTAATGTGATTTGATGGGCAAAACCACGTCATCAGCTAAAATAAACAAGAAGAAGAGAGACTGTTTAAAGGCTACACAGATTAGAATAGTTTCCATTTCAGATATCAGAAATTCAGATAAAGAACAGTTACAGTTAATCCTTTTCCCCTCATAAGGGAACAGATAAAATGAATAAAACTTCAATCTTTAGTTTCCATTCAAGTTGGTACCATGCAACTGATAAAATTAATAAAATGTTCAGTCTCTGGTTTCTGTGCAGAGTGTCAGTTAAATATCCATCTGCTTTCCATTCCTGAAAGACTAATGAAATATTTTATTATAGCATCCAGAAGAAGTATTAAATCCATGCCTGTTTCCATATAAAGCTTCCCTTTTAATACAATTTTTTTAGATGAAATTTCCTCAGGTTATTCTTCAGTTCAGACTGTTCTGTAAGATTTGGTACAACATAGGGTGGTCATTTCTCCATTGATCAGAAATAGAAAGAGGCTACTTTCCATGCTTTGAAGAAAACTTAGTACCCACATCTGCAGTAATACCTAAATAATAACTCATTACCTATAAAATTATAGTCTATAAACTGTTTAGTATCAAGGAAAGCTTTTTTCCACATCCACTGAAAGATCAGTAAATAATCCAAAAAACTGATAATCAAACATGTTGCAAGGACAGCGCTGTTTGTTTTTATAACAATTTAAACATTTGCCACTTAAAGAAGTCTGTTGCCAGAGTGCAGAAAATAATCAGAACTGGAGATAATGGTGATTTCTTTTGTTACAGTAATTGGATACCTTTTTTTAAACCTATGTAGAGCTCGCTGGGAAAGATGGAGAACTCCAGGTAAGAACAGCCTCTCTTCAGCTGCAAAAGCAATCATCTATGTAAAGTCCGCATTGACTCTTAATTCCACCATGAGGCCACATTGAATGGTAATTCCACCATGTTACTTCACAGATCAGACCATTTTCTGGTCTACATTTTCTAATAATTTTCTCTTAAGTTACTTTTGCATAATGGTCTTTAATATACCACTCATCCATTACTACAGCCCTCCACAGTTAGCAGGTGGACCTACTGCACACCCTATAGAGCAGAACTTAAAACCCTAAGGATCCGCTCAAGCCAGAGGAAGAACAATGAAGTTCAGTCTTCATTACAATATATCTACAGGTTCTGCACACTCCTTTTAATGTATATGGTTTAATTATCATTCTAATCCTTTTTTATCCTGAAGAGGAAAACTGAAATTCAACTCTTAACAGGCTTGGTTCTGTCAGGCCCTTTCCCTAATAACAAAAGAGGCAAGTTATCACAGTGATTAAAAGCATAGAGTCTGAAGCCAGACTTCCTGGGCTCAAATACTGCTTTACCACCTACTGGCTGTGTGATATTGTGGAATTCACTTTACGTCTCTGACATGAATAATCCTACCCAATATTGGTACTATAAGGATTAAATGCTTAGAATATGTTTGGTACAAATTAGGTGCTAAGAAGTGCTTTGATATTACCAGGTACATTATATTAGATATAATACCTACGACTGGGACTCAAGACACTCAAATCTAGGCTTAGCATATGAAATGTTGCCTATAGCCTTTGCTTTCTCTTTTGCAAAAAGAAAGATTATTCCTAGAGTATTTTCCTGCTATAAAATGTCATCTTGCTTTTTATATTCATTTTTTTTTCTTCCTTACAGCTGTAGTGTGATATAAGGTGAAATTGTTTTTTTACTTTAAGGAGAGGAAAACTGAGGCACAGGGAAGCAAACGCCTCTCCCCACTTCTTTATTTTTACAAAAAAGGTGCGTCATGACTCAGTCAGAACTAGAAAATTTCAATTTGCGTTCTCACAGCTTAATAAATGACTGGCTTCCTCGCCACTGACATTTTGGAGGATTAGACCAAGAGTCTATCCTTCCAATATTCTGTTTCTCAGAATAGCTTCAAACGGCATTTGCACATCCAAAATATTTCTTTAATAACCTGTCACCGAGCTATCCTCCACTAATTTATCTAAATCTGTATCCTAGAATGTTTGACCTCTTAGGGTATTGACCTTCACATGTTTTCAGCACCATGCCTACTGCATTTCTCAAAGAAATGTGAAAACTGCAGAGTGGCTGAGAATCTTCTCTGAAACACCTAAATGATGGCAATTTCAGGGGTGAGATACTAGATATTATGGGCCATTGATAAGATAAAATAAATATAGATGTCTTAAAAGGAAAAAAATCACCTCTTTTTCACTAGGGAACTATTTTTTTTATTTCAAGGCTAACACTTTGAGCTCAAAGTCCCCATGGGAAGAATATAGCGAACACCATGGAATAGGGCAAATTAGGTTACCTGCTTGCCTCAGAAATGAGCTTCATTTTCACTGCCTTTTCAGAGCTCAGAGTCTCTGGGTCAGTGCTATGGAAGCACTATTTTCTCTGTCTGTCTAAAGCCCTGACAGATGGACATGAACATGGGACAAGAGGGGAGAAAGGTGAAATAAAGACATATAAGAAAGGAATAACAAGGACAGGTAAAAATGAGAGAGAAAAGGCACATTGAGTTAGGGGAGAGAGACATGAAGTCCTTGGAGACTATAATTTCTAAAGAGCTGTCTTAATTTTGGCTCAGAGAGGGCTATCTTGCTACACAAGCACTTTCCATATAATCTAGAAAAAAGAACTGGGAGATTTAGATGATTTTTGCTTATCCTTATAGATATTTGGCAGCTTTATAGATGTTCTCTAGAACTCAACTGTGTTTTCTCTCTTTTTGCCTCTTCATTTGTGATATTTCCCCACCCGTGAAAGGTTATCAGAGGTGACTCTTTAAGTTACAATGAAAGAGATTCTAAGCATTACCAGTACGGATCTAGCCAGCTTCAGGGTAAAACTATGAATAACAAATTCTCTTACTATGGTTGCACTGAGCTGACGTCTCTCGGTGGAATTGCAAACATCACCATCTTTAGTAAATTATTAAAACATGATCTTAGAAAATATTCCCTTTTATAGAATCTCTTGCAGACTTTCAGTACATATCAAGAAAAATGTGTAAAAACAAGGTTTGTGTGGCATTTGACACAGTGGCAAATAAATACATTTAGAATTATGTTTTAATTACTGTTTCAAAATAACAAAGTGATATTTAAAAGTGCTCTACCTACGTGCTCTTCTACTGTCTCTAAACAGAATTTGGAGTTTCCAACTTGCTCTGAGTTCTATCTAAAAAAAAAATCATTTGGGGGCCAAGTAAATAAATCTTTTCAAATACCACATAATGAATCTCCTCAAAGGGATTAGATATAAGGTAACATTTACTTTCTTCTTTGTATTTTAGCTTTTTTGGAAATTTTTTACAATAAATGTGTGTAGCTTTTACATCAGAAAAAAATTTTAATAGATTAACAAAATTATAGTAAGTCCAGATCTCCACTGGGACAAAATGAGCATTGATGGATATCCAGGGAATTTTGTGTGTATGGAAAAGGGATGGGACCACTTTCCCACCATTTTCTTGCAACACCGGGGCAAAGTATATTTTCTGTAACCTGAACTATATTGCTAGTTGCATTTGTGTAAATCTCACTAACTATAAAAACTATATTCAGATGTGAAAGAATAATCACTTTTTCTGTGATCTGACACCATAACACTCAACTAAAAAGATTAACTTAGCATCTAGAAAATAATTTAAGGAATTGATGTCTACGATCATCTTTTTAGATGGGAAATGGGAGACAAGAACCTGCCAAAAACAGTCTAAATGATATTGATCAGAACTATGAAATACCCAGATTTAGTAGCCAGAACCAATCAAAATGCATAGGAGGAGGTAGCAACTGATCAAAAAATAAAAATGACCTGTTGTTAATGTATAATTTTTATAAAAATAAATAATACTGCTTGACTGAAAATAATGTCCAGGAAAAAAGTTCACTCATTAAAAAAATCCCTTAAAGCAAATCACTTTGCTGTCCTCATATTTCTAGATTGAACTGACATCTGCGGCTCACCATTCTGAATATACATATGCGGAATTCAGGGAGAGGCATTTTGTCATATCAGTGAAGTGACTTTAATAGTATTGTTTATTGGTCTTTTGACTTTTGATTCTAAAGGGATACACAAATGCTTGGGCCAATGAACAGTGCATTCAAAACTAACACTATCGTGGAGATGGAATGGGAGCTTGCTCTGTCCAGTCCAACACAGACCTAGCATTGCAGGAACTCCAGAAACGGTACACTCCCTCAGGGGAAATAAAACAAACTATTACTACTTATGTGTTACCATACAACTAACTACAAAACAGGAGGAAGGATTTGGAAGACAAAAAGTCACACCAAAACCCTCCTTTTAGCAAAAAGGGGAGAAATCTCGAGTTTTATTTAATGCTTACCCAGAACACAGAGCGGTACCATAATTATAGCTCTCTGATCCAGAATAATGGATCCCCAAAGCGAATTTGTCACAGCACCATCATTGAGAGGGAGAAAGAAAACATCAGACGAGGTCTGAAAGACGCTCTCAGTCCCTCGTGATTTCACATTCACTGGGCAAAACCGAATGTGGAGCGAACGGTGGCACAGCGGGCCAGGCAGCAGTGGGGAAGTGGGTGAGCACGCAGAGTAACCGGGGTAGAGCGCAAAGCTTACCTTGAACTCCTTCTCTATGTTGGCCAGCTTGGCCAGCTCGTTGCTGAGCTCTAGGGCCGTGAGCACCGGGTCTTCGCTGGACAATGAGAGGTACGCCGGGCTGGCCAGTCCCTTATAGGCGTTGATCCTCGAGCGCGAGTGGCTGAAGGAGTCGTGCCTCTGCTTCTCCATGCAGTCCCCGCACTTGCAGAAATAGTCGTGCGGCCGCTCGATCCTGGCGCCCTTCATCAGCAGCATGTGTACCACTTCGTATTTCTGGCAGTGCGCCGCCAGGATGATGGGGGTGATGTCCGGCGAGAAGCGCGTGCCGTCCTCGTCGTAAGCGTAGAAGTCGTCGTCCTGCAGCTCCTGCTCGCAGGGGCTGAGGGTGAGGCGCTTGCTGGCGGCGAAGCCAGGGTGGTTGAGGATGGCCTCTACGATGCGAACGTAGCCCTTGCTGATGGCGAGCAGCAGGGCGTCGCCAATGCGCGCCAGGTTCTCCTTCTTGAGCAGCAGCTCGGTCACCTCCAGGTGCTCGTTGCCCACAGCCAGCTGCAGCGCGTTCTGGCCCATGTAGTCCACGCAGTTGACGTTCAGCGTCTTGGACTCCTCCAGCATTTTGCGCACCACTGGGATGTTGCCATACTCAGCGGCGTCGAGGAAGCGCTCCTCCTCGGCGGTGAGGCTGGTGCCCCGGTCATTGAACATGAAGGCCGGGCCCCTGACAGCCTGGCGGCGGCCCTTCTCCCTCATCACCGTCATGCGTCTCAGGGATGGGCTTCCTTCCATGGACCTAATCAGTAGCAACGATAAAACAACTGTAGAATATTAGGGCATATTCCTTCCTTTCACATGTCAGGGCCCTTTCTGTAATACACAATACCCACTGCAAACCTCTGTCTGCAGGGGGCTGGCTCGGTTGCTAGCGATATCGTTGCTAACTACTTGCCTGAAAGTGACACCTGTGATCTAACCCTGGCTGCTAGATCCCAGAAGGGAGCCGGTAGCCCTTCAGAACAAATGCTCCTGTTCTCTAGAACATGATATTCAGATGGAATAATAAAAATTTCCATATACCCATGCCTTCCTTGTGACCCTAGTAAAGACGTAACTCATCGTACCTTCTGCTCTTAAAAGTCTTGGACATTGAGGCTTGCAGGTACTTGGCATTAAAGTACTAAGCTTGAAGGCTAAGGGAAGTTAATTTTTTCAAGAATGAGACCAAAACACTCCTGCCAAGTCATTGCATCCTTTTAACTAAATAAAATCATTGACCCTTAGCCCCCTAAAAAAGCACAGGGTTTAGGCCAAGTATCATCTTGCAGGATCTTAGTTTCATCTTTTTCTCTTTAAAATTTTTGTTTATTTAAATATTTTTTTAGGGACAGGGTCTCTGTGGCCCAAGCTAGAGTACAGTGGCAAGATCACAGCTGTAGCCCTGAACTCTTAGGCTCAAGCAATCCTCCGCCTCCGCCTCCCAAGTAGCTCGGACTACAGATACGTGCCACTCGCCCCCATACCCTCCACCTTATGCATTTCTCTTAAGGGGATTCACCCATCCCCAAGTTACAGGATTTATCTTTTCAAAGATACAGACAAGATTTAGCAATTTAAAAATCTGAGCATCAACCTAGATTGATTTTATTGAAAACAACTGTGCCTTTGTAATGAGAATTATTTAATTACTAGTATTACATATTTGCCTCTTGGAACTGAAAGGATAAGGTTTGACTATGGTTTAAAAATCACTAGAATTACTTTGTGAGTAAAGCAGCTGGGCACTAATTGTACATCCAGATCAATGTGCACTGAAATCCTAACACAACCCCATTAGTTGAGATTTATTCAGCTGCATTATAAAAGTTATGTCAATTGATGTGTACAGTGATTTGAGTTCACATCTTAATTTCCATGATGCTAGGTAAATAATTTCATTTCTTTGTGCATCATCCTATGCCAGGTATAAAATCGAATTTTATAAAGTTCTCCAGATTTTCCTCATGAATAAAAAACTTTTTCAGAAATTCAGAGTCTCTGAAAAACAATGCTAAATAAACACTTTTAACATTGTGACTATCTATAATCTTTCAATAGTCTGTGAAATATTTTGGTGGCTATTAAAATATTGCACAAATATTGTATAAATCTATATCTTACCTTACCCAGTTCCAACATTCAAGATAACTTCCTTTTAAAAATCTGTGATTTTTGGTGGGATGAACTGTACCAAAAAGTACCAGATAAAGCTTTTTCCACAATACTGACTTTTGAAGCAAATAAGTCAAAGTTAAAAGTGAATGGCTAGAAAAGAAAATGCTTTATTTCTAGAATATATATTCCAGAAATACCTCCTACCGTTGAAAAAACTGTATTCGTGGAGTCAGAAGTTGAAAATTAACTAGAGAGGATACCAGCCTCCCTGGGTGCCTGGGGTGGATGACTAAATTGGGAAGCTTCCCTGGCAAGAGGAATCAGAGGCAGCCCAGTGCCAACTCCGTTTTCAGCTCTGAGGGCCCCAAACAGAGAGAGGAGCACAGAAGCCACTGGCAGAAGGTCTCCTGGATAGGGACTAAGGCAAATGTGGCTGGGCAAGCCCGACTCTATAGAGGTATGGCAACTAAAGGGGTCCCCAGAGAGGCTTGTTGACTTATGCAAAGACACAGTGCTGTGACTGGCACCCAATTCTAATGGCTCGACTAGTGTCAACTGATCAACTTTTAAAAATTAAATAAACATATTTGTTTTATATACACATATGTATTTGTAGCAATTTCTAGAAATCAACACATGAAGCTTTTGAAGTCATATCTGGGCTGGGACTAAGAAGTCATAGAAGAAGGGGGACTTTCACTTTTCACTTATACCCTCTTGCATATTTTGAATAGTTTTAACCACAGTGTGAATCTCTTTATTAAACATAAAATTAATGTTTTACATTTTTATTTATTAAAATTTTTATTTTTTAATCCCTTAGTTGACAAAAATGTTAAAATATAAGTATTTATTAGAAATCATTACATTATAATCTTTCTGAAGTGAAATAAATGTCCTGTATTTGGCTGTTATGAGTAGGGTATGATGTGTAGGGGAGGGTGTGGAGTAGAGTGTATGATGTGTGGTATGTGTGGGAGACAAGGGCAGGGTGCAAGTCTGAGTTGGGGGACATGTGTGGGGTGTGTGTGTGTGTGTGTTGGTATAATAATGACTTTTAGGTGGACAAGAACTGCATAGAAGAGAACTTTGTCTCAAGACCAAACTCTATGACAAGGATTTTAAACAAATCTTGTAAATATGATAGCAATAAGTATGTTTTATGACTATTAGTGGTACTGACTTCACTGGGTCAATATTTTTATTATTAATCTATGAATTGATATTCTTCAAATGACCAGAAATTCCATGTTGTATAAAATATTATATATTGATGAGAGGAAATATATGCAGAGTATATATGTCAGAATTTCAATACTCAGAGGGGTTATCTTTGGGAAAATAAACCCTTATTAAAGTGTGACATCTTGGTGGAAAGGCTTTTAATTTAATGATTGCTACCTACAGGGAAAATCACTTATAAAAATCCTATTATTTCTCCCAAAAGACACTGGGTTGAGAATATTAGGACATCATTCTTTCATGAATTTTTCCTTTGTATTTCTTAGTATTTTAAGTTTTTTCTTAATACTATCTTATTCCTTCAGAAGCTATACCTCCATACTATATATTTGAACTGAAATGTCTGATTTTAGAACAAATCACATGTCATTTTTATTTTGTCTTTAAAAACTTCTGACACTGAGAAGTCAGATATCTCAATTAGAACAAATTATACTGTTTTATCAAAATAAAACGGCTGACAATGTCACTCATGGTAAATTCACAAATGGAAGTGTCTTTTTGTTAACTTTCTTTATAGTACTAAGATAAATTTCAGTAGTCTGAACTGATGGAACGAGTCAATATTCACATCATCCACAATACATAAACATAATCTCAGCTGGACTTGATAATATATCTCTTCTAGCATGAAAAATAGGGAAGGAATGTGGGTGAATGGGACAGAATGTTTAACTCTAGCAATGTTAACACTAAAATTATTTTGCCAGGAATTTCCTACCCTCTGATCTTCATCCAATGGGTCATTCAACACTGTGACAGTACATTCTGCAGGGACGTCTTTCTAGTAAAAGCATTGGAGTACCACTGACCCGCAGATCTATGAGGGCCATGTTTAAGCTCCTTTTGACTAATACAGATAGCTAGTAATATCCAACTGCCAAATTGTGTCCCCACAAAATTCATATGTTGAAGCCCTAACCCTTAATGTGATAGTATTTGGAGATAGAGCCTTTGGGAGATTATTATGAAATCATAGGATCATAAAGATGGGGCTCTGATGATGGGATTAGTACCTTTATAGGACAAAAGGGCTTGCTCCCCTCACCCTGCTACCTCCTATGTAAGGAAACATCGAGAAGGTGGCCACCTACAAGGTACCTCTCCAAAAACCGAACATGCTGGCACCCTGATCTCAGACTTCCAGTCTCCAGAACTAGAAGAAAATAAATTTCTGGGTTTTTTTGTTTGTTTGTTTTTTTAGTCACTCATTCTATGATGTTTTGTCATGGCAGCCTGAATGAGGACACTGACAATACATTTTAAGGGAAAACATTTTTTTTCATGCTTTTTGCGATCCTAGAATTTGTCCAAACAAAACACTTAAGCAGATGAAAAGCTCTTCTGAGAAATATTGTGGTGGAACCATAGGGAACCCTCTGCTCTACTCTATTCAGAAGCTAAAATACAAGCAACACTCCTCAGTTTTCATAACTTTGCTATCAACTCATCTGACCTCCAACAGGGTTTCTCTAAGTGTAACCTGAGTACCACCTGCCTCAAGGTCACTTGGAAGGCTTGTTGAAATCAGATTTCTGGGCCCCATTCCAGATGAACTAAGTCAGAATTTCTCATGGTTGGACCCTGAAATACGTACTTTAAATGAAAGTCCTTTACAATTCCTGGGAACCTCCAATATAAAAATAATGGAGCATCCTGGATCAATGACCCCTGACTATGAGGCCTTCAAGCAGTTGTCACTCTGGTCCTGCCAAAAATGAAATTGAAATAATATGTTTGAGCAGCACGGGCTGAGGGACAAGTAGCCTCACATTCATTTAGTTTCCCTAAACTTTATTAACTATTTAAAATTTGGTCTCCAGGAAGCTATTTACCTAAACCACAGTACAGCAAGTAGGCAGCCTACAGAAATGCCTTCAGCAGTGACCATTTAATGTCAAGACCTTGCTTTTATGAAGGAGTGATATTTTTAAAACGTTATTGTATGTTTTCAAAAACAATTAAAGAGTTAAAGAGATTGTTCACTATAGTATTCTTTGTACCTTTTATGAGGATTACAGTGCCAAAGTCAACTTAGAATTGCAAATCAACAAGCCTCTCTCTTCAGATGAGTTTTTGTCCTTTAATAATAAAAACTGTATAACTCTCACTCCCCTGACCCCTCTTACGGTATCCAGGAATATAGCTAGGAACTACAACTGCTCAATTATTATTACCATCCTATTCCAAATTTCTGGCACAGTCTTCCTCCTTTTTTAAATGATTTCTCACATAGATTTAAAACCAAATATCCTATATTCCATGTGTTTTAAACCTGTTTTAAGTTATTTGGGACAGAGTCTTACTCTGTCACCCAGGCTGGAGTGTAGTGGCAGGATCTTGGCTCGCTGCAACCTCTGCCTCCCTGCAACCTCAGGCTCCCGGACTCAAGTGTCTGAA